AAAAAGAACTACTACATTGACTCCTGAATGGTAGGGGGAAAAGAAAAAAAATACTTGTCTTGCTTGATCTCCCTTATTCTTCAAGTAAAATTTATACAGCACCTTTGGACTGTGGAAAAATTTGAAAGCTAGGTACTTACATGTATCCGATGTGAATCTCCTCAGAAAGAGCCTACATCTACTAAGATCATGTCTTCAAATTGCCCTTTTTCTAGTTACCTCAACCATTTCAGCATTTGAATAATAACTCATGCCTTCCTAAATATGACCATTTATAGTCACTAAAAAGTACTATGTATGTGTTCTTATTAAGCATCAAAGTTATGTTACAAAATGTTACGTATGTATATATGTCTCTGTAGGCACAAGGATGATAATATCAATGGTATGTGGCAGGGTTTATTGGACTGTTGGCACTTAAAAGTGTCATTTGTCACTACATGTGCTCTCCTTGAAATTTGTTAGACTTCCAAGCAGAGGGGCCACAGATGAGGTAGCTGTACTGTCTCCTGCCTCTTCCTGGGAGTTGACTATTGGCACTCATTTCACACACTCCCCTGGGATTTCACTTCCTGGAGATTTTGTGAACATGAAAATAGCCCTTCCTTCCAGAAAGATTAGAGGCCCTCCGAGTATTGTGTTGTAATTTTCAATTAAATAGTTCTTGTAATACAGCATTCATGAAAAAACAATAACAGCCAAAACCGGTGTGGCTCAGTGGATAGAGCATTGGCCTGTAGACAGAAGGGTCCCAGGTTCGATTCCCGGTCAAGGGCATGTAGGAGGTGTGCAAGAGGCAGCTGGTCGATGTTTCTAGCTCTCTATCCCTCTCCCTTCCTCTTTGTAAAAAAATCAATAAAAAAAAAAAAAAAAATATATATATATATATATATATATATATATATATATATATATTTATTTATATTTTGTTGTTGTTTTTGTTGTTGTTTTAAAGAAAAGAAAAAACAACACTTGGAAGTCGGGTCGGGTGCGGCCAGGCCCGGAGCAGCGGCTGCCAGGCTGGGCGCGGCCAGGCCCGGGGGAGCAGGCGGGGCTGGTGCGGCCAGGCCCGGAGCAGCGGCTGCCAGGCTGGGAGCGGCCAGGCCCAGGGGAGCAGGCGGGTTGGGTGCGGCCAGGCCGGAGCAGCGGCTGCCAGGCTGGGAGCGGCCAGGCCCGGGGGAGCAGGCGGGGCTGGTGCGGCCAGGCCCAGAGCAGCGGCTGCCAGGCTGGGAGTGGCCAGGCCCGGGGGAGCAGCCGGGTCGGGTGCGGCCAGGCCCGGAGCAGCGGCTGCCAGGCTGGGAGCGGCCAGGCCCGGGGGAGCAGGCGGGTCGGGTGCGGCCAGGCCCGGAGCAGCGGCTGCCAGGCTGGGAGCGGCCAGGCCCGGGGGAGCAGGCGGGGCTGGTGCGGCCAGGCCCGGAGCAGCGGCTGCCAGGCTGGGAGCGGCCAGGCCCGGGGGAGCAGGCGGGGCTGGTGCGGCCAGGCCCGGAGCAGCGGCGGCCAGGCTGGGAGCGGCCAGGCCCGGGGGAGCAGGCGGGGCTGGTGCGGCCAGGCCCGGAGCAGCGGCTGCCAGGCTGGGAGCGGCCAGGCCCGGGGGAGCAGGCGGGGCTGGTGCGGCCAGGCCCGGAGCAGCGGCTGCCAGGCTGGGAGCGGCCAGGCCCGGGGGAGCAGGCGGGTCGGGTGCGGCCAGGCCCGGAGCAGCGGCTGCCAGGCTGGGAGCGGCCAGGCCCGGGGGAGCAGGCGGGGCTGGTGCGGCCAGGCCCGGAGCAGCGGCTGCCAGGCTGGGAGCGGCCAGGCCCGGGGGAGCAGGCGGGGCTGGTGCGGCCAGGCCCGGAGCAGCGGCTGCCAGGCTGGGAGCGGCCAGGCCCGGGGGAGCAGGCGGGTCGGGTGCGGCCAGGCCCGGAGCAGCGGCTGCCAGGCTGGGAGCGGCCAGGCCCGGGGGAGCAGCCGGGTCGGGTATGGCCAGGCCCGGAGCAGCGGCTGCCAGGCTGGGAGCGGCCAGGCCCGGGGGAGCAGGCGGGTCGGGTGCGGCCAGGCCCGGAGCAGCGGCTGCCAGGCTGGGAGCGGCCAGGCCCGGGGGAGCAGGCGGGGCTGGTGCGGCCAGGCCCGGAGCAGCGGCTGCCAGGCTGGGAGCGGCCAGGCCCGGGGGAGCAGTCGGGTCGGGTGCGGCCAGGCCCAGAGCAGCGGCTGCCAGGCTGGGAGCGGCCAGGCCCGGGGGAGCAGGCGGGTCGGGTGCGGCCAGGCCCGGAGCAGCGGCGGCCAGGCTGGGAGCGGCCAGGCCCGGAACAGCAGCAACCAAGTCCAGAGCAACTAGGTTGGGAGCGGCAGTGACCAGACCCGGAGCAGCTGGTTGTGGAATGAACCAGAGCAACAGAGGCCAGGCCCTGAGCAGCCAGGCCCAGAACAGCTCGCTCCTTGCCTGCCCCTGCCCCACGGCTGCTTCTCAGACATGGCTGGAAACTTTCGTGGGAACTTGAGTGTCTGCTGAATCAAGTGATGAAGGCTTAGATCTGGATGTGTTGAGTTAGTTTAGGACTGGGGTGTTGATCTGTGAGTGCCTTGGGTGGGGCCTGGATGAGGCTGGTTGACCTAGTGGGAAATGTCTTTTGTGTGAAGTGTATCTTTGGGCATGTGGAGGTATTATTGATATGAGAAAATGCTAAGTAACTGATTTACTATCTGAAAAGGGATTTACTATTGGGGAAATTGAGGGAAGAAGAGACTGAACATAAACTGCACCTATGGATGAGGACAATGGGGGATGGGGGGGGGACGGAGGGTGGGGTGGGAACCTGGTGGAGGAGGGAAGAAATGAGGAACCTTTGTAATAATATGAACAATAAAGATTGCTTAAAAAAAAAAAAAAAAAAAAAAAAAACAACACTTGGAATATGTACACCCTGGGCTTAAATCAAACAGATGTTTTCATGAAGATGTTTTTGGCTTTCCTTTCAGTTTCTATTTAGTTATTTTTGTTTGTGTTTTTGTTTTTATTGTTTTTTTAATCCTCATCTGAGGATGTTTTTATTTTTAGAGAGAGAGAAAGGGAGAAACATTGATTAGTTGCCTCTTCCATGCTCCCCAACTAGGAATAAAACCCACAATCTAGATATGAGCCCTGATCAGGAATCAAACTCATAACCTTTTTTTTTTTTTTTTTTTTTGTGTGTGTGTGTGTGTGTGTGTGTGTGTGTGTGTGTGTGTGTACAGGATAATGCTCCAACCAACTGAACCATCCTGCCTTGAATGAAGGCAAAAATTGAAAAGTATATATGTACATATATACTTTTCAATTTTTGCCTTCATTCAAGGCAGGATTATTAGGGAATAAAGGAAAAGGGTTTTAACTATCAGAAAGACAGAGAAAGGAGTCATTACATAATTTGAAGGTTCATTTACTTAGGTTAATTTAGTGTTTTTATTTTTCTTTTAAAAAAATATTTCCTGCCAAAACCGGTTTGGCTCAGTGGTAGAGGTCTGCAGACTGAAAGGTCCCAGGTTGGATTCCGGTCAAGGGCATGTACGTTGGTTGCGGGCACATCCCCGGTAGGGTTGTGCAAGAGGCAGCTGGTCGATGTTTCTCTCTCATCGACGTTTCTAGCTCTCTATCTCTCTCCCTTCCTCTCTGTAAAAAATCAATAAAATATATTTTTTAAAAAAATATTTCCTTCTCCCAATGCTAATTGTGTTTGAAAGCAACTTGCATATTTGAAGTAGAAATTCAAAAGTGTAGAATTCATTATGATAATTCTTTTTATGTGTTAGAACCTTCCGTGATTTTTATGAAAGGACATTGAAGTAATAGTACTGATTTTAGTCAAAGCCTAGTTTAATATAAAACATGTGTTTGACTCTTGGCTCCATAATTTTTTTTTTTTTTTAGAATTAATTATTTTTTTTAATATATTTTATTGATTTTGTACAGAGAGGAAGGGAGAGAGTTAGAAACATTGATGAGAGTCATCGATCAGCTGCCTCTTGCACACCCCCTACTGGGGATATGCCTGCAACCAAGGTACATGCCCTTGACCGGAATCGAACCTGGGACCTTTCAGTCCCCAAGCTGATGTTCTATCCATTGAGCCAAACCAGTTTCGGCTCCATAATTATATTTTTTTAAAAGTAAAATTTGAACTCATTGAGCATGTGATCATTTTGAAGTAAGCTTTATTTGTATTATTGTTTAAAATTTTCCGAGCAGAGCTGAAACCGGTTTGGCTCAGTGAATAGAGCGTCGGCTGCGGACTGAAAAGTCTCAGGTTCCATTCCGGTCAAGGGCATGTATAAAACCTTGGTTGCGAGCACATCCCCAGTAGGGGTTGTGCAAGAGGCAGCTGATTGATGTTTCTTTCTCATTGATGTTTCTGACTCTCTATCCCTCTCTTCCTCTCTGTAAAAAAATCAATAAAATGCATTTTTTTTCCCAAAATTTCTAAGCAGAGCCGAAGCCAGTTTGGCTCAGTGATAGAGCGTCGGTCTGCGGACTGAAAGGTCCCGGGTTCGATTCTGGTCAAGGGCATGTACATTGGTTGCGGGCACATCCCCTGTAGTGGGTGTGTGGGAGGCAGCTGGTCGATGTTTCTCTCTCATCGATGTTTCTAGCTTTCTATCTCTCTCCCTCTCTGTAAAAAATCAATAAAATATATTTTTTTAAAATTTTTCTAAGCAGAGAAATTACTCTAAGAATCATTTTCTTAAACCTATATATCTTAATTCTAGAGAACAGGCCACATGGTGAGAAAGGGATGTGGCTAGCCTTTTAATATGGCTTTGACGCCCCTTCTGTGTAACTACCAAAGAACATGGGAGTTGAATGTACTGTATTCAATATTTGAAGCTTTTCCAGTTGAACAGTGGCTCCTTTTATAAGAATTGCAGTTGTGATATGATGGTACAGCAAAGAACTGTAAACAGAATTTTTTTAGGTGAAGTTATATTATTAATTGTTGGTTTGACTCTATTTTAAGTTATTAATGATTCTGTTTTTCTTTTGGGGAAAATAGGTCATAGCAAACGACAGAAGTCCCTTAGTGGGTAAAATCCACTGGGAGAAAATGGTGAAAAAGGTGTCAAGATTTGGAATACGGACAGGTACTTTCAACTGTTCTAGTGACCCCAGGTAAGTTGATTAGACAGTTCTTAGAATCTGAGTTCTGACCAGAATTTTTAAAAATAAAGACAATGCTATTAGAAGCCTCTTTAAAATGAAAGCTAGTTCTCTCATTTAGTACACTGTAGTTACGCAGATGTTTGATTAATAGTTTTTGATAAACTGGCAGTTATTTACTTTCTCTCCTTTTGCTGCTTCTGTGTTTTTTCTAGTGAGGGACATTCTTAATTGTATGTCTTCAGTCCTTTTTGGTTCACTTTTCTTTCCCAGAGAGACTTCACATTTATAGTGTTTGGTGACATCTTTGTACTGGCCTAAATCTTCTTCCATAATTCTGATCTCTGGTTTTTATTTTGACACTCATTTTCACCTGCTCTACCATTATCCCTCATACATTCTGTTTGCTAAACCTAGTATCCAAATTCAGATTCATCCTCTTTTTCTTTAATAAACCTTTCCTTTTCTATCTTTTATTGTTTGTTTTTCCCATTTTCTCAGACAAGAATCTTTGCAGGCATTTTTGTTTTTCTCTTTGTCATCATCTCTAATATTAGTCTGTCAAACTGATGTTTTATTTTTCCATTATTTGTTCTTTATAATGCATTTTATTTTCAATTGTATTGCCATCAGGTTATAACTTAAATTCATCTAAATTCACCTATTTATTTAATTATTCAATACATTTTTATTTTCAAAAAAATTTTTTTACTTGAGAGAAAGAAAGAAACATCGATTAGTCGCCTTCAGTACACGCCTTGACCGGGAATTGAACTGGCAACCTTTCAGGGCACAGGACGACACCCAACCAACTGAGCCACACCAGCCAGGGCACAAAGATGAAGATTTTGATGCACAGCTACTTGTATCAGTTTCAATATTGTCATGTTCACTTTTCCTTTTCTTTGGAAAGTGTTCCACCTCGATTAAGAACTGTGCTTGCTCTGGAAGTTGTGTTTATTCAGGATTAGTTGTTTCTCCTTTTAAGGATTATGGAGATATTAAAAAAAAAAAAAAAAGAAAAAGAAAAAAAAAGGATTATGGAGATATAGAAGAACTGGCCAGGGAATCCAGTTATTCAGCAAGTGTTTTAATCATATTTTGAATAATTGAGTCATCATTTTTATCTCAGATTTTTAAAACAACAAAACTCTCTACTCCACCGTCTGTGTTCTTCCTTCCTTTTTTTCCCCTCTAATATTTGTTCTTTTTATTTTTTCTTTAATCTTCACTTGCAGATATTTTTTTCATTGATTTTTAGAGAGAGGGAAAGACAGAGAAATATTGATATGAGAAAAACACATTAGTTGGTTGCCTCCCGCATGTGCCCACAGGGCCCAGCTGGGGAGGAGCCTGCAACTGAGGTACATGCCCTTGACCAGAATTGAACCCGGGACCCTTCAGTCCACAGGCTGATACTCTATCCACTGAGCCAACTGGCTAGGGCTGTGTTCCAAGCATATCAAACTCGCAGCCGGCTGTAGTGTGTAGTTTTTTCTCTGGGTGGCCTCAGGACAGCCGCCTCTAGTGTGCCAGTCCCATTGTACAGCAGTAGTTTCTTGCCCATTTTCACCCCCATGAGACTGTTCAGGATCCCCACTTCTGGGCAGTGTTTGACTCCTTCTATGGCAGAAGTTTTAATTTTTGTACTTAAAAATCCAGCTTGCCGGGCCATAGTTCCCCTCATCCCCCCAACAAGGGATCTAGCTCAGATAGCTGTTCCTTTCAGGTCTATACTCTCTTTTTTTGAAAAAATAGAAAGTAAAATGAGTATATATCTTGTAAGGGATAAGGGGGAGTTAGAGAGATTAGGGGCATTGAACAAATGGGAGGACAATGGAATTGCATGAAGCTAAGTGGTATACAGGGCGGTGGCCCATGGATGGAGGCCCATGGAATAAGTTGTGAAGGAGAGATTGGAGGAAGGCCAAGATGACCAATGACTTCATCTGAAAAAATAGCATTACATAAACACAATACCAAAAATTTTTTAATTTAGTATGCTACACCAGAAACTCAAGTACCAAAACTCATAAGCCATGTTTTCTATCATTTTTAGTCTTCAAATTCTCTAAGAGATCCAAAAAATTTTACTTTAAAAACTAGAGGATAGCCGAAACCGGTTTGGCTCAGTGGATAGAGCGTCAGCCTGAGACTGAAGGATCCCGGGTTCGATTCCGGTCAAGGGCATGTACCTTGGTTTTGGGCACATCCCCAGTGGGAGGTGTGCAAGAGGCAGCTGATCGATGTTTCTTATCAATGTTTCTCTCTATCCCTCTCTCTTCCTCTCTGTAAAAAATCAATAAAATATATTTTAAAATAAAATAAAAAAATAAAAATAAAAACTAGAGGATATTTTCATGATGTTGTTACTGAATTTATTCAGACCTTTCAAAAGCTTTTTTTAAATTGCAATAAAAGTTTTTATACAGATAAATGGTAATATAACATTGTTTTAAAATAATATTTACATTCGCTTTTATTTCTAACAGTAAAGGTTAAATTAATATGCTATACTTTAGAGTAGTGTTTAAATATATATTAGTAGCCTGGTGTTTTATAAGTATATTCATTAAAAATAATAATATACATTAGGCTTTACTTCTATTTAGCAGTATAGTTTAAATTAATGATATACTTGATTTGTATATTTTATTTCTTTAGAACAGTGTTTAGATAAATAAGTATTAGAGTTTTTTTCAAATCTAAAAACATGATTTAATTTGAAAGGTAATGATAACATGAAGAATTACTTTTTCCTTATTACTCTTAAATTTCGTCTGTAATGATAAACCTTAAAACTATCATTTAGCTCTGAACTGAAAAGAAAGCACATAATACATTTGTTTTCTCACATGAAAAAAGGACTAAGGTTTTCTATCAGAAAGGCTGTTATTCCATTTATAACACAAATCAGAAGCCAAATATTCTCTGAAGTGGTTTCAAAGATAAAAAGAATGACCAAGAGAAGAAATGTGTCATCATAACTATCATATGCAATTAAAAAAATAAAGCTATTTAAAGATATTTAAGATGTAAATAAGGCAGTTATCCATATATTCATTTAATTTGTTGATTTGGGGGTAAAAATAGAATTAATATCAATGAATTTTTTTGCATTAGGAAAATACCTTGTTAAGGGATAGAACATTTTATTTTTTAGGATATATAATTCTAAAACATTTCAGTTAAAGCAATATTCATTTTAATCGAATCTTATCTTGTTAAGGAAGTGAATCAACTCAACAAGAAGCTGAGTTATGGTCTATGACCCGGAGTCACCCACATCATTTCCCAGAGTCATCACTAATATTGTCCTTATGACACATGTTGTCTTTACTTCATCACCATCCATTACAAATCTGTAACAAACAAAATGTATCAACTGACAGTTGTTTGTACTAAAAAAAAAACTGTATACCCATGGTAAATCGCCCCACAACTTTATTGAAGTAAATTTATATAACATAAAATTCCACAGGGTAGGTTTTTTAAAACTTTTGTTTATTATCTCACCACTGTAATACAATAGCCATTTTTATATTTTAGTATTCCCTTTCATTTGTAATCTAGTTTTTTTAGAGGAGAGGGATGTCACAATTATTAGAGTAAGAATCAGTCCATTTATTTCCAAAGGGATTAGAGTCATGACCCTATGAATAAATCTAAACAATTTAATTTTAGGTAACTTTTTTGTACTTACTCTGTTATAAAATGGGGTCATAGTTGCACTGAATCTCTTCTTAAACAGAAAACTTACTGTCTTTGTGTTAAACACTCCTCTTCCTGGTCTTCTTTAACGAGATGAGAGACTACAAAACAATATGGGACTTGCTCTTTCCTTGAGGAGCTTGTGCACATTACTTTTAACTGCCTGTGTGCCTCGGGCATTGTGGTGAGTGAGTGGGTACAGCATGGCTCCTAGCCTCAGAGAGTTTGCATTCAAGTCAACGACTCATGCTGTAGGATAATCCATTTCCTTCTCTCTTCTTTGCACATCTGAATCTTCAAGACCTACTTTAGTTTCCAAACCTTTCACAAAATCTTCACCAGTTCAAACTTCCAATAATATTTCCTTTTCTGAACTTTTTCTTAACATACTTAATAATGGAATATGTACAGTTTTATACTTGTTTTGTTTCCTTAATATGATTTTAAATTCCTGGTGAGCAGGAATTATTTTTCTCTTATTGACACTAATGCAGTTAGTAGGTTCATAATAGATGAAGTATTTGCTGATTCCTTACTTTTCAAGCTACTTAAAAAGAGAGATAAGACAAAAAAAACTACAAAAAGAGAGCTTACTTATTGAGCAAACTGTGAGATACTGATACTACTTTTGATTTTGTAGAGTTTATTTGGTTTCGGGGAGAGGGTATCTTTCAAGTTCTAAAGAACTTCGTCAAGAGCAGGCAGATTGTTTGCACAATACTGAGGAAGCTTATCAAGCAGCCCAGCTGTTGACTTACAGTTTACTCTCTTACAGATACTGCAAGAGAAGAGGCTGGGTGCGATCCACACTCATTATGTCTGTCCCACAAACAAGTACTTCTAAAGGGAAAGTCATGCTTAAAGAATACAGTGGACGCAAGATTGAAGTAGAACACATTTTTAAGTGGATAACTACTCATGCAGCTTCTCGGATCAAAACCATTTATAATGCTGAACATTTAAAAGAAGAATGGAATAAAAGTGATCAATATTGGGTAAAAATATACCTGTTTGCAAACCTTGACCAACCCCCAGCTTTCTTCTCTGCACTAAGTATAAAGTTTACTGGAAGAGTTGAGTTTATTTTTGTTAATGTGGAAAATTGGAACAACAGGAGTTATATGACAGATATTGGTATATATAACATGCCATCATACATACTTAGAACTCCTGAAGGAATTTACCAATATGGAAATCACACAGGTGAATTTATATCCCTTCAGGCCATGGATTCATTTTTGCGCTCATTACAACCTGAAGTAAACGATTTGTTTGTTTTGAGCTTGGTTCTAGTTAACCTTATGGCTTGGATGGACTTATTTATCACACAAGGAGCTACCATAAAGAGATTTGTGGTTCTCATAAGCACTTTAGGAACATATAATTCTCTATTAATTATTTCCTGGCTACCAGTGTTGGGCTTTCTACAGCTCCCTTACTTAGATAGCTTTTATGAATATAGCTTAAAATTGTTGAGATATTCTAACACAACCACACTGGCTTCATGGGTAAGGGCGGACTGGATGTTTTATTCTTCACACCCAGCCCTGTTTCTCAGCACATACCTTGGACATGGTTTACTAATTGATTACTTTGAGAAGAAGAGACGACGCAACAACAATGATGACATCAATGCCAATAACTTAGAGTGGTTATCAAGTCTATGGGACTGGTACACCAGCTACCTCTTCCACCCGATTGCTTCTTTTCAGAACTTCCCTGTGGAATCTGATTGGGATGAAGACCCTGACTTATACTTGGAGCGATTAGCTTTCCCTGACCTTTGGCTTCACCCTTTGATACCAACTGATTATATAAAAAACTTGCCAATGTGGCAATTTAAGTGTCTGGGAATCCTGTCTGAAGAGGAACTGTCGGAGAGTTCTTGCGATACTGAAAATGACTCAGATGTCGAGAGCACAGACACTTTGAACAGTGAGAAGGAAGTATTTGAAGATAAACAAAGCATAATTCACAATTCTCTAGGAAGAGTAAGTCACTGTGGTGCTGAGGCTTGTTCGTGTGCCAATAATTATTGTCAGACCAGCCTACATGAAAGGAAAGGGAGGTCATATGGATCATATAACACTAATGAAGATATGGAACCTGATTGGTTAACTTGGCCTGCTGATATGCTGCACTGTACTGAATGTGTTGTTTGTCTAGAGAATTTTGAAAATGGATGTTTGCTAATGGGGTTGCCTTGTGGTCATGTATTCCATCAGAATTGCATTGCGATGTGGTTGGCTGGGGGCCGACACTGTTGCCCCGTTTGCCGGTGGCCTTCTTATAAAAAAAAGCAGCCATATGCACAACATCAGCCCCTGTCAAATGATGTCCCATCTTAACCATGTGCAATTTGTCCTTTATAAGCTTTGAGTATCTTCAGCTTGCCTTTTTAATGTTAGTCACAATGTTTTTGTGGTTTGAAGTTTAGTTTAATGTTAGTGCAGTGACAGAACACATTATACTAATGTTGATGACAATTATTTGGTTGCCTGTGTGTCAATTGAATGCATACTTAATTGTAAAGATTTTTATTTACAACATTGGCAATTGAGAAGTTAATGTTTTTTGTAAGCACAAAAGAAGTATGATAGAAATTTATCCTAGCAAGACTTTATAAAGTAGGATCAAAACCTAATGAAATTGAGGCAGTTTCTTATCCTAAATGTTTCCTCCCTTTTTACAATATCTGTCCAGCATCTCTTGGTTAAATAATGTATGCTCTGAGACATGAAATTAACACAGATCTATGAAATAAATTATTTTAAAACCAAAAGATTATAGCTTTTCCAATGTTAAATTGTTTTTTATAAGGTGTCTGAATTTTATAGGTATTTTATTGATTTGTTAGTTTCACAGATAAGGCAAATATGATTCTTAACTCGTGGGGAAAATAAAGGCAGAAATTATGTGATAACACTGGCCATAGGTGATGTTAGTCGATCTTTTAGGTTGATTAGCTTTAATGGGAAAGAACTTTATAGTGGGCTTTTTTTTTTTTAATAAGTTTTCAATCACTTATTAGTATTTACCAAATCTAAATAAAATAAACTATAGTTATTAGCCTCACATAGATTATATCTTTTTCCTGCTTTTTGAAAAATTTCAAAACTACAGAGACATTGGGAAATACAGTAAAATAAGCATTCATTTCTCTAATTCACCAAGCATTTACATTCTATTACATTTGCTTTCTGTCCTCTCTGTATGTATTTATCTTTTTTCTTTCTTTGGTTATTTTTCCTGATCCCTTTGAAAATAAATTTCAGTTTTCATGGTGCTTTATAGCTAAATATATCACTATCTATCTCCCAAGAGCAAAGGCATTTTTTAAACATAACCAGCATACCATTATCATACCTAACAAATATAACATCTAATATCTAATACATAATCTATATTCCCCAATTGCTCCCAAAGTATTATTTATATGTATTTTTGTTTTGTTGTGAACTGGGCAAGGTTTATGAAGAGTACAGACTAGTTGGCTTACAGAATGTTCTGCGTTCTGGATTTGTTTTAGGGTTTCTTCGTGATTAGATGTAAATTAAAGATTTTGCCTAGATTACATGTACTTACCATTTGCTTGACATCAGGAGGCACATGATGTCAGTTTGTCTCACTTTATCTTAAGAATCTGTGAGGCCATGTGACTATCCTGTTGGTCAATAACCTTTAGCTAGCCGGTTTGACTCAGTGGATAGAGCGTTGGCCTGCGGACTGAAGGGTCCCAGGTTCGGTTTCACTCAGGCCTATGCCGAGGTTGCAGGTTTGATCCCCAATGCAGGGCATGCAGGAAGCAGCCGATCTATGATTCTCTCTCATCATTGATGTTTCTCACTCTCCCTCTCCCTTCCTCTCTAAAATCACTAAAAACATATTTAAAAATAATAACCTTTAATTCAGTGTTTTACTATCCATTGATGATTATTAAACTGGACCAGTTATTAATCAGGAGTTTGGCATTTTTGTGAGTGTGAAGATCTTTCCATTTTCCACTTTTCTTTCACATTTGAATGTTACTGTGGACTCTCAGATTCTTTTTATATTCAATGTGTCAAAATTTATTATTCTTGTGCTCAAATCATCCCAGATTTGGTGAGAGTCCCTCTAAGCCAACTCTTAAATCCTATTGGTATTTCCTTGCTTTTTGATGCAAGATTTTCTGGCTCATTTTGCAGTTTCCCTAGCCCAGCCCTGTAATCAAGCCATTTCTTCTAAAGGCCCAAGTTTCATGGTGAACTTTTACTGAGTGCCCCCCAAAACAGCAAGAAAAAATTAACATCCTGGATTGCTGCTGAAATGTTTCTTCATGGTGCACTGAGCCTCATTTTCATACACTAATGGATATAGTAAAGATTAACAGTTACTTTGTATTAATCTTTGGGAACTTGTTTAAATTTTAAAAAGGGCAAACACAGCACTGGCAAGTGTGGCTCAGTTGGTTCAGCATCGTCCTGTGCACTGAAAGGTTGCCTGTTCCATTCTCGTCAGGGCATGTGCCGGGTTTTGGGCTCAATCCCCAGAGAGGGTCATGCAGGAGGCAGCCAGTTGATGTTTCTCACATCTGTTTTTCTCTCAAATCAATAAAAACATATTTAAAAGAAAAAAAGGGACACACTGCTCCTTGTGTTCTAATTTTAGTTTTGGAAAAAAGTGTGTTATTGTAAATGTTACTGTTTCCCAGAATTCCACCATCTTTTCTCTCATGTATTCAAATGGATGTCCCAAATCTATGTGTCCAGGCAAAGGCCTTTCCCCAGATCTTCATTTTTATTATTTTTTTAAATCTTTTTTTGTTTTTGGGGTTTTTTTTTGTTAATCCTTAGCTGAAGATATTTTTTCCATTGCTTTTCAGAGAGCATGGAAGGAAGGGAATAGGGGAGAGAGGGAAACATTGATATGAAAGACACATGGACTGGTTGCCTCCTGCATATGCCCAACTAGGGATGGGGAGCGAACTTGCAACCCAAGTACATGCCTTTGGGAATCGAACCCATGATCCTTTCGTGTGCAGTCTCTAATCACTGAGAAACACTGGCCAGGGCAAAATCTCCAGTTCATATAGAGCTGTCTGCTAAACAGCTCATCCTGGATGTGTTTAAGTACTTAGGAAGTGTAACAGCTTTTCATTCTCTCTCTGCACCCTCCATCCTCTCAAGGTCCTGATTTCAGTTAGTCATCATATGCATACAAATATTGTTCGCTATGAAATATACACACAAGTATAGGCATTTTAAAAGGCAATGAAAATTTATCCTTCATGAAGTATGGTAGCAACCATACTTGGGTAAAAACTGCTGTTTGAATTTCAACCCTGCTAAAATTTTTTGCACTCACTCACTTGCTTAAACAATAGGGTAGTTACCTCAGCTTCCAGATTGACACCTGGAGGCTTAGGCAATTTTCCTGTGCCTGTGGACCAGGACCACAGGAGATTGATTCCCACTGACTCAGTAGCTCAGGAGTAGAAACTGTAGATAACCTTGAGAGATTACTAACTCTGCTTCTGTACTATCTGCTTTTGCAAGATAGGTCCACATTCCAGTGTCCAGCAGGATGTGGCTTCCCAGCATTTAGAATTTAGAACAAAGGAAAATTTTTGTGGTTTAGACTTTTAAAAGGACTGCCTACACCTGGAACGGTGCAGTGGTGAGTGGACTCCACCTGTGTGGTGCTCTCGCGGCTGTCCTGGCCAGTTCAATAAATCCTAGCCTGCTTTTTTTAATCAATTAGCAGCCACCGGTGGTCTTATTTTGACTCCAGGGTTCAACCCCACAACACTCCATCCCTGGGCACACCACATTTTGAAGACTACTAGACTAGAGGATAAACCAGACTCAACACTGGCTTTCAAGGCCCTGCATAATCTACTAATGGCCTACATCTTAAATTTACTGGGACATTTTGCTTGTCACTCCAGGGCAGTAGTTCTCAACCTTCCTAATGCTGCGACCATTTAATGTCGCAGCTACTGTTAATGAATCGTAATGTAAATATCTGTGTTCTCCGATGGTCTTAGGCAAAATTACAGTTATGAAGGAGCAGCGAAAATAATGTTATGGTTGGGGGTCACCGAAACATGAGGAACTGAATAAAAAGGGTTTGGCATTAGGAAGGTTGAAAACCACTGCTCCAGGGCATGCTCTAGCTGGGAGCTCATCTGGAAACACAGCTTCTCCTCCTCAACAGGGAGCTGCCTATTATCATGGAAAGATTAACAACCTTGTTGCAGAAACCAGAGCCAGAAACCAGAGCTGGCCCCTTGAAGAACCCCAGCCTTTGCATACCCTCAGACCATTACAAATCTCCAGCCTCATTACCTGTAAACTGCCCTTTTGGCATACCCTTTTTGTCTATTTCCCCATGTACCTGGTAATCTTGGTCCTTCTACCCAATATAAGCAGCTGGCTTGTGGTGGAGGGCAGAACAGATTTTTGTGGACGACCTGCTGCTCTCCCACTTTGCCCACAGTATTGGAATAACTGCTCATATAGGATTCAACCCTGTCTCTGCTTAATTGGCTCAAGTAGTGACAGGCAGCACGAACCCACTGATTGTCCTTTTACAAGAACTCAGGACAAGCAAGATAGTTAAAGATGTGACTAGGACACAGCTTTCAAGTTTGAATGTCTTCAGGGCCCAGGGAAACAGTTTGAATAAGGAGGGGTGGGAGCAACAAGGTGTATGCTCCGTCTAAAGGTATTCAAATATTTTTTAGAAGATCATATCAGCAAATCAAAGCTGATGGGAGCCTCTGTAGTCCCTGGATAACATGCTATCTTGCTCAGGGCTCTTTCTACCATATGTTTTTGCTTAGAATTGTGTTTGTGGAAAAGACAGCTATGGGAAAATAACTGATGTAAAACTTATATTGCCTTCTATGTTCGTGCTAAATCGCACACTTATTATTGTCAAGTCCTTTTAGTTTATGTGTATGATGGGATAATAGGCCCTTTGGAGCTTGGATATTCTCACTTACAGTCCTTTAAAATATACTCTTAGTATTGACATAGAGGATACCTAACTGAATTTATAGCATGCATGACTTAATTAACAAAAGTAAGCTTAAAAATAGAAAGGCACCCAAAAAGATGTGAAAGTTCAGGTACTAATGTTTCCTTTTCTTATTTGTTTTTTTTATTTTTGTTTTTTAAAAGCTTTATTGAGATATAATTGAAATATAGCATCATGTAAGTTGAAGTTGCACAATGTGTTGATACATTTATATATTGCAATATGATTAGCACTGTAGCATTAGCTAACTCCTCCATCACATCACGAAATTACCATTTCTTTTTCTGTGCCAAGAACATTTAAGATCTACTCTATTAGCAACTTT